ATGTATTCTTGTACATATAAATAACAAATGATAATGACAATGGGTATAAAATATCAAGAAACGTCAAACGTTCAACGCCAACCTTCATTATTAACTTTTTTAGATTTATTTTTATTTAGTACAGTTGATGCAATGTATTATTATTTGACATAAAATTTTAATCATTTACAATCAACAAAAACTAACACATACAAGAGGTTTGACTTTTTAATCAATTTAATTTATTATTTATCGAAAATACTGCCCCAATACGATCTATGAGTAAAAATTTAAAATTGAAAAACAATTGATTCTATCGTACAAAGTGACAGTAAAGATGTTAATTTTCTACGTATTAGATTATGTTGTAGGAACTTATTTTAATTAAAATGTTTGAAATTTATAACATTTGTTTAAATTAATACCTTATAATTTGATACTTCATTATGGTTGTTCTATTTTTGGTAAGATTTGATCGTTCACTAAAAATTTAATACAAGTGCGACAACATTGTCGCATATGTCGTTTTCATTGGCTATTTATGTAGTTTGAAAATCACTTATTGCATTTAAAAATATATATATACAGGGTGTAATATTTAATACGAATCCCTAAATTAATTTTTCCAAAGCCTGTCCTGGAATTTTTTAGTTTAGCTAATACCAGTCAAATGCTTGAGAGTAGTGTACTGTATCATGCAAAAATTAAAAAAATCAAATGAGCCGTATAAACACTACTGTAAAATGAAATAAATGGTCAATTACACAAATCACCCTGGTAATTAATAAAGAAGAGGAGTTGACATTTTTTAGTGGTTACATGATATGCTCCCTGAGGGATTCTACATATGGTAGAAGTACGTAAAGTTCCTCATGACTCACCCTGTATAATTATTATAAAAAATATTTTAAAAAACACTTACTGTTGTCCCCATTAGAAATACCAGCAAAAAGCGCAGTGAGGATTAGAACTGATCCTGTGGTTACCCTCATGTTTGTGTAAAGATAGTAAATGAGTTGCTTTATATATTATAAGGACAGCTCATTAAGAAATAAGTTAAATAATACCATAAAGAATAATTAATAGGCAGAATAAATATTCATAAACAAGTTTTTTTATTCCTTATCTAATAATTGTTTGCCATAGGGAAAGTATATGAAATAATATGGTAGAAATAATAAGTTTTTATAAAGATAATTTTACAAAACAATACCACTCATTAGAGAGTATGATGCAAATAAAGGACAAATTGATCGTTTCAGAAACTAGCGATAATTATTTCAATTAGAAATAGATATCAGTGTTTCAATACATCATGGGAAAGGCCTTTTAAATATGTATTCAACTGTAGAAATAGTTTTTTACACACTATTAAACATTTATTTTAAACTCCTTATATTATTTTTTTTTTTTTCATTACTGAAGGTCGTAGTATATCCTGGCCAGCTCTTATGGACTTAGAGAATGTCTTGCCACTAACTTTCTTATCTTTGCGCACTTAATCTCTCTTGCAAATGGGTGAGCCGTTTCTGTCTCTGTAACCTTTGGTTACAGGTTAAATGTTAAAATTATCATTACTTCTTACAATAGATTATCAAATCTTTAAAACACCTGCGAGACAAATAGAGAAGAGTTGCATCTGTTAAGCTCTTGGAAGCTTGAGTCTTTTTCTTCTTCTTCCTACTTGTATGTAGGTTTTAAAATCTTTTTCTTCTTCAATATTAGTCTCCTAAATTGTTTAAATTATCGCACCATCTTTTTCTTGGTCTGTCAATATTTCTTCGTCCATTTGGTGACTTATCTCGTGCTATTCGTACTATCCTATTATCTGCCATTCTATATTGCATGCTCTTGTTATGTTTTCGCTTTTCTTTATCTCCAACAGACTTTTTCCCTGATATTCGTCATAGTATTTTCATGTCTGTTGTTTCTGTCTGACTTCACTTTGTACTGGTATACACTGTGTTAGTTTTCCATTTATCTTTGCCTGATTATGGAAGTAGATGTTTTCGGTGGTTTGTATAGTATTGATTGGTATGTTTCTTTTATACAGTAGGTGTAAGACGTCTTAGACTTGTATGCGATGGAAAGCCTTTGTCAGGTCTATTAAACAAAGATATGCTGGTTTATTGTACTCGATGACCTTTTCTGTGATTTATCTTAGTACAAATACGGCGTCTACACAGGATCTTCCGTATCTAAATCCTTGTTGTTCATCTCATAAAGTTGTTAGTTTATTGATTTTGTTGGTTCGGACTTTTATGGTAAGTTTGATAATTGAGTAATTTGTACTATTCGAATCATTTTTTTTTCAACACCAAATTTCGAATACGTCAATTTCTTTCCTATCTTTCGATTTCATTATCAATTGTCCAATTTATAATACTAATGGTTACAATAGATAATAATTTCTTTTCATAGAGTCTTATTCCTTACGGTTGATGGTTTCTATTCACACCACTCCACTCCAAGATTGCTCTTTGAACACCTCCCAACAATGCCGGTTTTTGTTTTTCTTTTTTGCTTCTTTTATGTGGTACACATTTTAATATTTGGTTAGGAAGTAATTTATCCTTCATAGGGATATGAGAGGATATGACCAACAACAACTATGTCAATCTCTCTCAGTTGTCAACGTTGAATTTCTTTAATAATAGTCGTTTAGCCTTATATTTTATCGCTTTTGGTCGTTGGGTATCTTTTTACTCAGTGATTTTTTGGCAGAGCAGAAGTTTATTTCTAAGGACAATAAGCTGCTTTATTTAGCTGTAATGCTTCACATCCATACAGTACGATACTTTTAAAGAGGATCTTTCTAGAGATATATCTTCGAACCATAGTTTTGAATTTGAACATCTTTTAATTTTTTACCCTAATTTACTATCCTATCTTCTGTTTCGTTTTCAGTCCGGTCACCACAGTCAATTATTCTGCTTAAATATGTGTACTCTCTAAAAGCATTAATGGCAGTTTTTTTTATCTATTATTAGGTTTCCTGTTGGGTTCTTAATGCATAGGTGTTATTTTTTTTTTTTTTTGTTAGATTCACGTACTTTTTTGAACATTTTTCATATTCTTTAAATAACCTTTTAGCCTTAAATTCTGAAGTTTTTTCTGCGCTATAACCACTTGATCATTACCAAAATAAAGGGTAAAAAAGTATATTCTTCATTTAATTGTACCACTTTCTAGAACAGGATCTTCTACACTTTCTTGTGAAGTAAGTATGTCTTAAATAAATATCAGGTACAGTGCTGGAGCAAAAACACTGAATTGAGGTACTCAAGGAGGCTTTGGTATACTCATCATGATGTTTTATAAGGAAGGTAGGTCTGGTAGGTAGGACATTTAGATTTAGAAGTAATTGTTAAGACGGATTTTCTAATGTATGAAAAACGATTAAGCTAGACTCTGTCTATGATGGTAAACCCGATAAATTTGTTCAGTGGTAACGTATTGGGGCCTAAAGCTAAACTGGTGATGAGGTATTATTTGTTTACATCTATCCTAGGGCTCTCTGGCCCAATTGGAGCCCTGTTCTCTCTCATTAAACCTCTCCATCCATTACGGTCTGTAGCCATTCTTCCTCACGATCGACTGCGAAAGATATTTCTGGCGTCCTCATCCATCACATCATCCTCCCATCTCTTCTCCAATAGGTCTCCTTTCCTGCATTTTTGCATTCAGCAATTTTTCTGAAAGCCTGTTTTCTTTCATCCTAAATATATGGTCTGTCCGTTGAAGACGCTGTTGCCGGGCATACTGAGATAGAGGAGGTTCTTTATATATATTATGTATTTCATATTTGTATTTATTTCGCCACCTGTTGTTCTCATTTGTAGGCATTCGTCTCAGTACCTTTCTTTTAAAAATGTCTATGCGATCTACAGACTGTTAAGTTAACACCGTAAGTTTCACATCCATGTCTCACTGTCGTTTGGATTATAGTATTGTATTATAGATTTGTATTTTAGTTCTTTGATATAGATCTCGTAATTTAAATGATTCATCTGTTAAGTTCTGCATCCTTAATGTGGTCCTTTGTGATGTTGACTCCCTAATAGATAAAGCTGCCTACTTTTTTAAGTTGTTAACTATCAGGTAGGGTTGTGCTGCCCTCTCCAATCTACCGTGTACTAGGATTTTAGTCTTTTTTTCGTTTATTGACAGACCTATTTGTTTGGCATGTGATTTAATTTTTGTATACGTATTCTCGCCTGTTGCTTTGGTTATGCTCATGATATTTATGTATATCTATTATTTTTGCTACTTAAAATTGGCTGTGTTTCCAATAACAATGTGTCCAATATTTTGGACATTATGGGCAGGTTTGTACGGAAAAAGTAGGGCCTTTTTTGATAATTCCCTTAAGATTTTTACAGCAATTAAATCATTCTCTCGGAACTATTTGGCTTTCATGGGAATTTTGGTTTTCCCTTTATTGCCTTTCTTCCGTATGCCATCATTATTGCAGATGGAATAGGGATTAGATAGCTGAGGATATTCTATTTGCCTTGTTGCTTTCCAGAATGTATTTTCAGTTTATATGGACATAACATTTACTTGATCAAACGGCAGTCTGAAAAAAATGCTGGATGTACTCGTAAAAAAATAATGAACCTGCGGTTATTTTAAACACTTTAAAAAGATATTTGTCTCAATAGACTGCATCTATGCTAAAAAAGTGTTTTAAAATTAAAATTAGATACATAATGTTACGATTTTAAATGTTATGGCGTATAGAACTGTAAATATTTTATGACTAATTCTTTTTTATTGATTCTTGTAATTTCTAGGTCAAAAATCTACCTGACACCCTTTGGGTCACTTCGCTAAAAATGAACAACAATCGAACTTTCTGGGGACGAGCCGATGAAAAAACATACCAGTTTTGAGACCAGTCGCTGCTCTGTCTAGTCGAGAATGCCATCGAACCTTCGGCGTAAAATGTTCCATTTTAACACATGATTTTAGACAATAAATTAGGAGTAATAAAAGCATTATAATAAACTTTACTTTAATCAGTCATTATAATTTAACAATTTAATGGTTTCATCCCAAAGCTGTCGCGCTAATTCTGGGTCTCTAGCTGTTTTGTAATGTTCTTGATATTGACATTCTGAGAAAAATCCTCCCGTTAGGTACTCAATACCTGGTTCAGTGGCTACATAGATTGTTGTTTGCGCACCCTCTTCAGGAGTCTGCAAAAAAATATAATTATATGTAAGGACACTTTTTAATAACAATTGAGAAAACAGCACTGGTTCATAATTTTTATTGTTGATTACAGAGATAAAAAACGTAAAGAAGCAGGCTTTGGAATAGGCCTTACTTCTTTTGGGTGGTTACTCAATTTTTACAAGAAATCCATATTGGGACCGTGCAAGTTCGGAACAGAGACACCTGGTGTCGTAAATCAGCAAAATTTACTGCGCTTTTATGTTAGATCGAGGTAACCGGATAACTGTCAAGGACGTGGCCTCAAAAAAGAATAAGAAGAAAAAGTAAGATTGAGGTTATGTCGGTATGTTATTAAAAGGTAAACGTTGATGTAGCGGAAATACAAATAAATATATTAGATATTGAATTACAGCATTACTGTTAAGATGGATTCAATAATAAAAACTGGATTTGAGAAAGTAAATCACCAAATAACTTTTCAACCAAGCACTGAGTCAAAGGGAAAAGCTTTAGTAGTGGCAAATGTAAAAAAATAATGGAAGAATTAAGAAAAATAAATTACCATAAATAATGCTAATGCATAAATTAGCAGATTAAGCCCATGATATCATCATATTGGTTTGAACAATTAATTCGTTCCCTGTAAACTTTTGGACAGCGAATATATCTTAATGCATCTTCAGAAAAACTTGAACTTGATGCATTCTTGTAAACTTCAAAAAAATAAAATTTACATTTTACAACATTAAACTTGATTTTTGGGTTAAAATGAACTCTAAGTGAGTGTTATGAAACTAAAATTTACACTTAAAAGTGAACTTTTATTTATTATTTATTTCAAACTGACTTTAAAATCGGGCGCAAGAATAATGCATAATTTAGGTTATGTTACTTATGCTCTTTTATGATATAAATGCACTGTTATATTTGTAGTAGATTTGTGCTTCGAAGTTGGAAACGAATAAAACTTAAATTGACAATTTTTTGTTGTATTTTTACAAATTATAACACAGCATTTCCTATAAATCCCATTTTCTACAGAGACAGAAGGTGTAAATGTAAATAAACAAAACGAATATGAAATATGACAATTGACAATATGAATTTATGAAATCTATGAAATGTACAGTAAAAAATGCAAAATTTCTCCGCTACTCGCGCACGATCGTTTCTCGTATCCCCTCCAAGTACTTGCACGTCGCCAATACCTATGACATAATCTAATCTAACTTGTATGTAATTATCTGATGTAATGTGTATCTGATTTCTGTATAAACTATTTTTAAAGAAAATATAATAGTCTTACACACCCTTGTTTAATTAATGAATTCCTGTTGTAACTTAAACATCCTAGTATTTATCTAGTAACTTTAAGATCAAATAATGGAATTTCAATTCAATTTAGCAACATTTAACGGATTTTTACCAACTATTTAGTGGCTCAAAACATGTCCATCTAGATAACACTCATGATGAAATAGTTATTCCGAAAACGTTCTGGAATTTAGCCCGGTAGGCTGTTTTAATTATATACCTTTTATAAAAGATTTTTAAATAATTTTTTTGTGATTCCTGGTATACAGTCAGCTACAGGAACTTAGTTTCCTGGTGAAAATAAAGAAATAATGAGGATGTATGGAAAGCCAGCAATTACGACAACAATACGAATGTAAAAAGCTAAATGGCTTGCTCACATTCTACCAATGCCAGAGAATCGAAGTGTTAAAACATACTGAAAGAGGGAGAAATGGAGAAAAAGAAGAGAACGTCCAAAGAAGAAATGGTTGGAAGAAAGCAGTAAAGTAAGACTTGCCAAAAATAGGCGTGAGAAATTGGAGAGAAAAAGCAAGGGGCCGAAAAACATGAAGGAAAATATCCAAGTTTTTAGAAGTCAGGGAAAATAACCGTTTTGAGTTTGGAGATTTTGTCCATATATGGACCTTTTGAAGAAATCTATCAGTGATATTTGTGTGTGTTGAAATTTGTTCGTAAGAGCATTAAGGAGATCAACTTTTCGTCTACTAAACGAAGGTCTGAAGTTTCGCCAATAATATATTTGGGATCGGTTCTGGTTCAATCCCCAGATAACCAGTGAATTCCTAGGTCTTATTACTTAGCACATTGTAATGGTATAGTATATGTATGGCAGTCCCTTCTGTCGTTTTGCATTTTGTGTATCACAGTTCGTTTACCTTGCTTATTTTGTATGGGTGTTTTCTTTAACGACAGTGTCTAATCACCCTTTCGGTCACCTTTCGGTGACCGTTTTATTCTCTCGTTTTTTGAGGTACATCAAATTTTGTCATAGGTTTTTATTAATATTCTTGATTATTTTCTATGCTTGTCCTTGAGTGGCTCTCCATTTATTTTGATGATTATTAGAGTCGTCACTCCTTATTAGTCACTTCTAAACATCGTTTCTTGTAGCATCTTTGGTAATGTTACACAATGGATATGGGCCCAAAAAAATTTCATCAAGCCTTGTTTTTATGTTCGTTGATTTTCATGTATCCTTTTATGATCCGGTACCCATAATAAAGACATGTTGTTGTTTTCTTTCAAATTGTTAAGGAAAATTTTGGAGTTCCCCATCAGGTTTGATTTGGTCAGTGGTTCTTTACATCTAGAATAGCTGCTTGGCTATCTATATAAATTTTGATTCTTTTTGCTTTTGGGTCTTCATTTAGGAATTTCATCAATGTGGAGTGCCAAACAAAAAATTCTGCCTGGAGGTCAGTTGTCTCTTGACCTAGGATATAAGATTTAATTCTTATAAATAAAGTCCTATTTTTTTAATCGTTTTTTGTAATGGTGGCGTCTTTTTTATAGTTATGTTATTCAATTTTCTATAAAGTTTTAATTAAAACAAGTAATTTTGACCCTCCAATTAATAATTCTGTAACATTTTCTTTTTCTTGTATATCATAAATATTGATGCGACCTTGTATAAAGTTATAATATGCGTTTTTTATCATCTTAAAAAAAACACTTATTGTCTCTTAAAATATAATAAACATTCAATATTCCATAGTTTTCCATAAAGACCGATCTGAGAATCGAATAAATAAAGCGGTAATCAAGGATATAGCGTTTAGTGTCTTAGCTCGTGGTGGAATTTTTGCGACTGAAATTGCGATGAATCATGATATGTACAAAATATTTATCGTTCCCGAATTAAACCTGAAGGGCTTCAGACGTAGTGGTCCGCTAGCATCGGTACCGGCTTTTTAACCAGTATGAGCTATTGTTAATTGTTTGACTGTTTGAAAACCTCTTTGAAGATCAAGTCTTTTTTGGCAGTAGTTTTGTTTTGATCCTAGTAAGCAGTACATGTAATAGTACGAGGCAATTGAGTATTTGCGGCAACATATTCTTCCGGGATCTTACAGTAATGCTGATAAAAGTGTTTTTGTAGTCCTTGAAGTTTTTGGTGAAAGCAGAACAAACTGCAAGTTACGTTTGTTTTGTTTTGTTTTTCTTTTTGATGAAACAAATTAATAGAAGCTGAATATTTCTTGTCTTTCCATCCAGGTCCATTTATTGTTACAAGATTTTTAACGTCTATCGTGGTTTGATTTGTAAGTTAAATATATATTGGTGTGTGTTGGTTTTCAGTTTGTGTATTTGCTTTAAAGATAAACCTGGCTAAAATTTGAAATGGACAATAATAGCTTTCTAACAATCTATACAGTTGTACAAGTATTCGTATCAGTACACAAGCAAACCTGTAATTAAGGTTAGAAAAACAAATAGAAATAGGAATCAAGAGATGGAAACCCAACCTAACATCCCATACCAAAACACACATGTTTTTTTATCGCCAAATGCAATCGGCGTTATGCAGTTTAGTATTTAAGATTAAACTAAATATAAAATACATACTTTAGAGACCTTTTCATATCGGTTTAACATCTCAATGTATATGGATTATGGAATTTGTAAAATTGAATTCATCATTATTAAAATTATAAAAGTAAACGATATTTTCAATTATTCTGTAATTTGTACGTTAAAATTCATACACTATCTAAATGTAAATTTGTTAACTGAAATTTCCAGAAGAAGAAGTCATGATGCGAGTATATTTTTAAATTGCACATTTAAAAGTTTACGACTTCATAACGTTACTACCATTTTACTGGTAGTTTATTATAGTTAAACTAAAACAGTTTTCTTCGTCTTACATATATACTTACTTTAAATAAAAATTTTGATAACGGCGCAACACCTCTGTAGACAACAGGCGAAAGATGTCTAGTGATTATGTCAGTAGCTATCATTCCAGGATGAAGAGCAAACACGCTAATGTTAAATTCGTTTAATCTCTTGGCCAACTCTTGAGTAAAAAGTATGTTGCACAATTTTGCAGTCGGATAGCTTGGCTTTCCATTAAGATTTTTCACATCGAGCCTAGCATATTTAGCTCCCTCCGAAGCGACGTTTATTATTCTACTAGCTGTGGATTTTTTTAATAAATCTAAAATAATAATGAAATCAAACATAATAACTGTTTGGAAAAGTATTTAGATTTTACTTAAATGTTTTATTTTATTTATTATTCTTAATATTTTTAATATATTATGGCCTTATTTAATCGCTAATTTTATATCTTTAAATTTCCCACTTTAAAATTGACTATATTCATATTCTTGTCAAACTTGAGAACCACTTACTATTAAATTATCCACGTCTGTGGAAAACCGGTAATTTACCTCAAAACGCTTAAGATAATCACTGATTAAGGATTATCTAATTTATTATGTCTCTAAAACACTGCTATTTGACGTTCAAAATATTCCAACAGTTTTTAATCCCACCCATCTCCACGTAAATAGTAGTTCGTTCCTACGAAACGTGAAGAACTAAACAAGCATGTATGTCGTATGCACCTACCGTTAAGTACGTCAAAAATATAATAACTTTCCAATAAAACTTGGCAAAATTGTTTACTACAACGTGACGTCGAGACTTCGACGACTACGACGATTTTCTTCGTCTTTTTGACATCTAAAGTATTCAAAAAGATTAAGTGTGTGTCTTTTGTACTGATAATAATTTGTGAGTTATGCCAATCGATTGTTCTTATTTACAATCGTATATTTTGGTTCATTGTCTACGACTTAATTTATTTAACCAACTAATGAAAATATTGAAATCAGCTTAAACATTTTATCTATTTGGCCTAGAGCAACAAATCAGCAGGACCAGGGAATATAAAAAAATCTGGCGCGTATCCTTTATTGGATTGTTTACTTTATATGAATGTTGTTCGATAAAATAGAAGTAGAAAAGGAAAACAAGATGGGTGGATTTTATCATGAATATTCTCCATTTTTAAAAAAGGTAACAAAAAACCATCAAATAACTATAGAGGGATCAGTGTAATGCCTTCAGTGGTAAGAAGTGCATTTTTCACAGTTACAAAAAAAATTATGGCGAAGAACAAGCCAGATTCCAAAAAGCCAAATCATGTCTAGATAATATATTCATCATGCTACAAGTGAAGAAAAGAACAAAGATACAAATATTGAAAGACATATGAATTTTATCGACTTGGAGAAAATATGTGATACCAGCGCCAGGAATAAATTATGGGAAGCAAAGAAAAGAATGCATGTTAGAGAAAAATGGGTAATTAAAACATAAATACTGTATAAAGAAACAGAGGTGCAAATAAAGTTAGGCAATGAAATAACAAAAACAATTACCGCAAAAAAAACGCCTTAAAGAGGGATGTGATCTATCACTTACACTTTTTAACACGCATATATATATATATATATATATATATATATATATATATATATATATAATATATATATATATATATATATATATATAAATAATGTGGAATAATTGGTATACCAGTACAATAAAATACACTACTTTTCGCAGATGGCGAAGTCATTTTTGTACAAGACAAGGAAGACATGGAATATATTATAAAGAAATTAAAGGAAGAATATGAGCTATGGGGAAACTGAGCTAAACGTTGGCATCTAGAAAACATTCAAGGACATTGTGTCAGGATCAGCAGTAGATAGAGAGATAGATTTAGAGAGGTCGCCTTTTGGCCTATTTCACTGCGACCTTTTCAGTTTAATGTGATACTCTAGTTCTAGATAACATTCTCTAGTCTGACCTCTTTTAAAAAGTCTAATAGTTTCGAGACTGTACCTTCCATGTAGCTATTTTCCGGTGGATTTTCTTCTCCTAATGCAAAGGATCGCACATTTGTCAGACTGTAGTTTCTTCTTCAAGTTGACAGAATCTGCCCAGGCCATCATCTGATAATCCCATCAGCTTTAAGTGCCTTTTCAACTTACAGTGTTCTGTTAGAAGACCTACTATAGCTTCGACCGTTTTCCTGTCTTTACTTATTAGGTCTGCCGTAAATTTTGGCGAATGTTCTGTATTGTACTGTTTCACCAGTCTTTGTCCTGGTGAATTCCTCCACCACTTCAGATATTTGTGAGCTACCCACTTCCTTGTAGCCATTCTTGTTACTGTCTTTGTAACGCCGCAGAAGGGTTCCGGTCCAATTAATGGCATCGATGAGCCCTGTTTGTCCATTTCATCTACTTTTTCATTGCCCTTATGACCCTCGTGCCCCAGTACCCAGACTACCGTAACCTTGCTACGGTCTGCCTACCTTGCTAACGCTGCCTGCCTATATGTGAAGATGGAACATTTTTCGTGCATTTCTATTTCTTCCACGCAGTAATGGGTTACCGTTATTTTGCCTAGAAAACTGTCACATCCTTAGATAAGCTTACCAGAAACTGTATCCCTTGATTTATTCCTACTATTTCAGCTTCCACACCCTCCAATATTATTTACACCTTTATTCTAGTAAAACAAAAGACGGTGCTATTGTTTGGTTCGATACAGAGCAGCGGTCAGCCGCTTATACGTATTTTAACCTCTCTAGATCTCCTCAGAGCGGTTTATCCACTACTCCGTATATAGCGCTCTGGGGAGACCTAAAGAAATCGAAATACGTATAAGTATCGAACCAAAATCTAGTGCCATCATTATTTTTTATTTTTTTACCCGTTTGGATTACCAGAAATTGAATTCGCTACGAATTTTGAACATCATGAACGGCATATGAAATGCAATCTTAGATTCCCTTGCCAAGTAATTTACCAAGCTGTTTGCTTTGCAAGTTTTAAAAAGCACAGTGGTTAAGTTTTGAATTCGATTTCGCCAGGTAGAAATCGTATGATTTCCCTTTTTGTTTCTTTATTCCACTCTTCCCTGCCTGGTATCTTAATTGTGAAATTATTATTAAAGCTATATCTTATAGCTGTTGCATTGATAGGTTGCTCCATCCCAATATAGGCTTTTAGCTCCTCGATTAGCTTTCTGTTGTCAGCACCATACTTATTTGTCTCTACTATTTCAGCTCCCATATCCGCCGATGTTTTTGAGCGATCCGTGTACCAGGTAGCAGCAGCTTGTATGGGTACGCCTTTATTCCAGTCTTTCCTGACTAGTATCTTAATTGTGAACATATTGTTAAAGCTATATCTTGTAGCTGTAGCATCGATAGGTTGTCCATCACAATATCGGCTTTAAGCTCCTCGATTAGCTTTCTGTTGTCAACACCATGCATCTGGCTTATATGTCACTGCCTATGGGTTAATCTGTGTATCACTGATCTGGCTTTGCCTTGTATAAAGATATGAGGTGATGGCAGATTCAGTAGGACTTCCAACGATGCAGTAAGAGTTGTTTTATGGCCTCCGTAATACATAGGAATGCTAGCCTTTGTGTATTACCTAACAGCCTTATTGCTCCCACTTGCTGAGTCTTTGTCCACCACGTCACGGAGCTATAGGTTATCATTGATCTAATAACCCGTGTGCACAACTATAGAGTAATTTTGGAGTTAAGTCCCCAATTCTTACCGCACATTCTTCTACATCTGCCCAGGGACATAGTAGCTTTCTGTGTGGGGTTCAGAATGTGAGTATTTCAGGATCAGCAATAAGCCCTTTTGGGAGTATTACGTTGCCATGTAGGGTATCTGTTAAAAACTTTAACAGCATACCATCTTTTTAACAAAAATTTAACACCTGATAAATTTTCTACCATTTTAAGGTTTTTACCCAAATATTTAGTTGCTTGACTCATGTACACCTGGTAATACACTGATGAAGTCCAAAAACATTATGTAGCAGGAAATGGTCTTTTTAACTATATGCCTTTTATAAAAGATTTTTAAATAAAACTTTTATTTAAAGATGTCTACATATTGCCAGAGAGGGTAAAATAAAAACAGAGGAAATATGGAACAGAATGGAAGTAAAATGTTCAATTACAAAAAATTTGGACTGAGACCCGCCGGAAAGAAGGCAGATGGAAAGACCTATTGTAAGATAAAAAACGTACATAGAAAACTCTATGAAATGACATGTAAAGACCTCAGGAGAGGTGACCAGGAGAATAGAATGCTGTGGATGCCGAAAATGGCGAACTCATAATGAAAATAAGCCGAAGAAGATTCGGCTTTTCTAGTATTTTCTATTTTTCCGTGTCGTCGACATGGTATACAATTTCCTCCATGGTGTCATTCAATAAAAAAGGGACTTAAGAAGCCTAGAGTTTAATATCGATTCTCAACAATGTTGTATAGTATAGAAGAGCTTTATTAGATAAAATATCACTTTGTCGTTTGTTATTACATTCACAATGTCGATCTAACTATCTCGTTTTAATTTTCTGTTTAAAGGAGAAATTGACTCAGATCATTCGCACCTTGGGAAAATACTTGTTGTATTTTGTGTATATTGCTGTCACACCTCCTTCCTTTGTGTGTTCGTATTTTTTCAGTCCGCTGTAAATCATTATGTCTTTGCTGAATTTTTCCTCAAACACCATTTAATTTTTTTTATTTTAGCTTATGAGATCTTCAAGTTATTTAGCCTAACCATGATATTTTTACTTGCTTCATGATAACTGAGTCAGATTTTAAAATTATTTTATATGTTATATTCATATTTTCTACTGTTTTTGTAATGTTTGAGAACGTAATCTTTAATAGTTGTGTCTTTATTTGTAATTGACTACATTTTATGGAGCATTACGCTAATAAAGATAATTAAGTCAAATTAATTTCTGTTTTCAAATTATTAACAATAAATAAATAAAACGTTTCTTTCTGTTAAAAAGTAAAAATAGATTTTTTAGATAATATAATATTTTTTCTTATCTATGTGTAGGCTCTCAGAGCGACAATTTGGAGTTGGACAACGGTCAAGAAATTCTGCAATGTCAAGAATATGAATATTTAGGTATCACATTCGACAATACCGAAACAGATGTGAAAGAGCTAGAAAAACGAATAGTTACAGCTAAAAAGATAATAGGATGTCTAAATGGCATCTTTTGGAGCAAGGAGATAACAAAAAGGAGAAAATTTAATATATACGAGACAATGGTTAAGAGCAGTCTATTGTATGGAACGGAAACATGGAGAATTCCAGACAGACAAAAAAAGAAGGTAGAGGCAGTCGAAATGGACGCGATAAGAAGATCTATGCGAGTCTCACGAAGAGAAAGAATGAAGAATGACCGTATAAAGCAACGAATGGGAATAGAAGGTACGATAATTCAGGATATCGAAAAGAAACAACTTACCTGGTACGGACACGTAGAGCGAATGCAAAATAATAGATGGCCCAAAAAATACTGAACTGGACCCCAATAGGAAACAGAAAGCGAGGAAGACCCAAACTAGAGTGGCAGCAAAACATAAAAAAGTCAATGAGCGAACGGACTCTATCAACGGAAGATTTCCACGATAGAAGAGGATGGAAGTTAGGTGTCGGACAACGGAGAAGGACGTTCTTAACCGGCATATATGTATAATATTTTTTGTGTGTCTAATAAAATGTACCTTTAATATGTATACCTTTTTTAGTATTCGAGAAAATTAGATATACTTTTTTTATTCTGAAAACAACGATCTGAGCTATTATAATGGCGTTGGTATTACGCTAGATATTGGATTTTTTTTTATTTGTTGGTGTCCCGGTATTTGTTGGTGTCTCTATTTTTTTTTTCTTTTTATTAGGTCCACAATTTCCTGTGTCATCCAATCATCTTTTAGCTTTTACTTCTTCTTAAATCGAGTTTCCTATATCATATTAACATTCCTTAACCCGTAACCGGTGACGTGGAGTCTGAGAGACTCTTGCGAAATTAAAAACCGGTTTAAAATATTGAAGCGGACGACTCTGGATGGCCTGCAGCTAAGTACCTTTCTAAAAATAGTTCATAAACCAAGCGTTGTTGTTTGATTAGTTTACGTTTAGCCGTTTGCGAGAACAGACGTTATTTGAGTCAGCGAGACTCAACGTCACCGTTAGTTACTTTTTATCGAGTGTTTTATATTTCTTCGTATAAACTATAATGGATCATCTACCAAGTACGTCACGATCGGTTAGTGTTACAGATCCGAAATTTGAAGAGAAAGTGTTATATTGGTTCAATGATTTGGACTCTGAATATAGTGATATTGATGATATTGACAGTGATGCGGTAATAGAAAGCAGTCATGAGTCGGCATCTGAGCAGTCTGATAGTGAATCTGATCCAGAAGACAATATTCCAGAAACTTTAAACCAAAACTCGTCCAGTGATGATGAAAATAATATATTGGCGTCAAGATCTTCAAACTACTTTTATGGTAAAAACAGATTTAAGTGGTCAGCTAGTGCACCAAAAAATATTCGTACTCAAAAGCATAATATTATTGTACATTTACCGGGGCTGCAAGGAAAGGCTCGGTCTCTTGGTCTTTCGGCACCTCCAAAGGAAATTTGGAACTGTTTATTTACAAATCAAATGTTAAATGTTGTAGTCGAATGGACAAATGTAAAATTGGCGAGTGTTAGGGTCAAATACAAAAATGAAAAGAGGCCGGAATTAAAAAATGTCGACCAGGTCGAAATGGAAGCATTTTTAGGCTTACTAATTTACACCTCAGTATTTAAGTCTAATGATGAAGACATAGAATGTCTATTTGCTACAGATGGAACGGGCAGAGAAATTTTTCGGTCCGTAATGAGTGCCAAGAGATTTGCAGTTTTATTGACTTGTTTACGTTTTGATGACCCTTCCACGAGAGAACAACGAAAAGCGGTAAATCCACTAGCACCAATTCAAGAACTATTTGAATCTTTTATTCAAAACTGTCAAACGGAGTTTTCTGTTGGTGAATATGTATGCATTGATGAAATGTTGTTGGTTTCCGGGGTAGATCACGCTTTAGAATGTATATTCCAAACAAACCACGAAAATATGGACTTAAAATTATGATATTAACAGATGCAAGAAACAACTATGCGTACAATGCGTATGTATATACAGGCCAAGATTCCGACGGAATGGGCCTTTCAGTAACTGAGAAAAAGCTTGCTAAACCTACTCAATCCGTGTTACGGCTTTCTAAGCCATTATTTGGCAGTAATCGTAATGTGACAGCTGACAATTGGTTCACGTCTATAGAACTAGTTCAGTTGTTGAAATCTAATGGCCTAACATATGTGGGAACTATGAAAAAGGTTAAAAGACATATTCCTCCTGAGTTTCTTCCTCAAAGGCATAGAGAGATTGGTTCAGTTAGATACGGTTTTACAAAAGACATTACCCTTCTTTCGTATGTTCCTAAAAAAAACAAAGCCGTCATACTATTATCCTCCATGCATCATAGTATAGCCATAGATGAAAAAACACAAAAACCAGAAATAATTAGTCTGTATAATATGACGAAAGGCGGCGTTGATGCTTTGGATGAAAAATATACGGTTTACAGTTCGTCCAGAAGAACGCAACGTTGGCCAATGGCTATATTTTACAAAATACTAGATATGAGTACAGTTAACGCTTTCGTTATGTATCAGTGTTTTATGGAGAATCCAAACCCTTAGACAAGAAAGATTTTATGAAGGTACTGGCTAAAAGCTTAATTAAAGCACACATGAAACAACGAATGTATAACAGCAGAATCCCGACAGAAATAAGAGAACACATAAAGCGAATACTGTGCGTGGTTGAACCTCCTTCTATTCAAGAAGATCGGTTAGCAGTTCGAAAGTATTGCTACAATTGCCCATCAAAACTTCATAGGAAGACATCTTATTTATGCGTCTGTTGTAAAAAACCAATTTGCTTGATTTGTTCTCATAAAATATGCAGAAACTGTAACGTTCAAAAAGAATAAAAAAAAATAATCCCATTTTTTTGTCCTTTTATTACCATAGATTATTCAATATTTGTTATACCTAATATTAAAACCATTTGTACATACCAAATTTAGAAATATTTAAAAAAATAAGTTTTCCGACGTAACACCGTACTTTATTTATTTGCAACTTTTGACAAAAATGTTAATAATAAGAATAGTCAGTAACAGAAAGAACTAAAAAGGCAATAGGATATTGCAAAAATGCCTAAAGAACAGATTATTATAAACAATGTGATAAAATAATTATTTAAATTTGAATGAGACCAGCATATTTATGATGAGTCCCGAAGACTCCACGTCACCGGTTATGTTCCTAAAATCGGACGTCACCGGTTACGGGTTAATGGTTGTATTTAATTTAAATGTTGGTTATATAATGGATCTTTTCATTTATCTTTGCATGTTCTATAGCTATGCCATTGTTTAATAAAAGTTTCCAAATTGTGTAAATTTTTTTTATTTAATTGCATAAAATTCGCTTAAGGAAATTGGTAATAGTGCTATCAATGTAGTTTCCAGATTCAACTTTACCTCAGATTTTATTGGCGCTCGGGTTGGAGATCAGTGTGCCCCGAAGTTCACACTGAGTCCTATATATTGTTTAACAAGATGAACTGATGTCACCATGACATTCCTATTTTGGTTACTAGACCACGAAACTGGTCCAGACTTAAGAGAAAGTTTCGGTCCTTCTTATGGTCCCCTGCATATAAACTATAAATAAAATATAAAATAATTTTACTTACTGACTAACATAAGCGTTAATAAAACTGGTCCAAAGTAATTGATTTGCATCTCTAACTGAAAACCATCTTCAGTCAACTGATCGCCAAGCATTAGAGTTCCAGCGTTATTTATAAGAATATCGAGTTTTTCCTCTGTTTGTAAAATATTAGTAGCAAAGTTCTTAACAGACGTTAGTGAACCTAAATCTACAATTTTAAGAACCACGTTCTGATTTTGTGTTAGAGTTTTTATATTTTGAACAGCTACAGTTCCTTTATGATGATCCCTACATGCAACAATGACTCGTGCTCCTCTTTTAGCGCACTCTAACGCAGTTTCATACCCAATACCTAAAACAGAATTTAAAGAATGTTTACCTATATTATTCTTAAAAGTAAAAGAAGCTTTTATATTGGCCTTAGTAGGAGTATAGTCACGTGAAAGATAAATATACTACTGTCGAATAGCTACTTGTAGTCCAGTCGGATTAGACGAAAAAGACACCTAACCTTGCGTGGCGAGCTACCTCAACTTTTATTATTCTAACCTTTAGTGGTAGTTAGAAGTTAATTTAAAATTGCGAATGAATTTTACCTCCGAATTTCGAATTTAAAGATTGAAATTGTTACAAATGCAATTTTCTACAATTTATCTTTTGCAATTTTTCATAGGGTAATATATTTTCAATATATCGGCAATATTTTTCAAGTTAGGGGGGAGGAAATAGTAACAAAATATAATTATTTAATTATCTATTAATAACTTACGATATTCATGATTGAAAGAAAAGAAGAAGAAAGGAAGAAGAAAGGAAGAAGAAGGCATTCATGGTTGAAAAACTTGAGAGAATGGTACAATTGCACCAATTACCAACTGTTTAGATCTGCAGCATCAAAAATACGCATAGCTTTGATGATAGCCAAACTTCGGAACGAAGACGGCACTTGAAGAAGAAGAAACTTACGATATGAGTGTACATAAACAAAAATGAGGAAAACTGTATTTTATACAATTTTGATTTCATTGATTTTTCTCCTACAATGAAAATTTAAAGTGCTCCGCCTAGGACAAGCCTAACGGGACACAATCTTAAGCCCTAAGCAAATACTAATCACTGTTGTCATTATCACTACGACAAGCGCAAAGTTATTATTAACTGTCATGAGACTGAATAGCTCATGAATGTAAAGTCCTGATAGTACTATGACATGGACAGGCGGCACAAGGTTTCATGGCATAGAGAGAGGTTAAGCACTTTAGATTAGGTTATGATAACACTGTATAACTGAAAGTAATAATAATAAATATGGACAAAAGTTCATATTAAACATTATTACATGTAATAATCAACCGGACTATCTATCCTATGGACTATGGACTATCAACCTTCAAGTTCAGAAAATGAAAAAAGTGAACCTGAAAAAATTTGACGACAACCTACTGAAATTCCCACTGCACGTAGTACTAATACAGATAAAGGTCTTACCGCCAGAGGGACAAATAGAATCAAATTCTTTCCAATATCAAAAACCTCAAGACAACGCATTAGTGAGCCAAATACGTGGAAGAAAAATGTTGCAGCTATTAGCAAAAAAAAAGGGGAGCAAGCTATATTTCTTATAAAGGTGATGTCGTACCTGCAAAACGTCCCTGTTCTAATCTATCATGTAGTAAAATATGCAGATTAAAATGCAGTTTCAAATTTAATATGGATAACTCTACTTCACTATCTAATGACTTCTACAATTCTAAAAGCTTGATGTAAATTCCAAAAATGCCTTATTATTTAAAAGTAAATCACAAACATAAATCTTCCTCCTACAACTACTCAGTGATTTTAGAAAATCAACAAGTTTTTGTTTGTAAAAATGCATTTTGTGCTTTTTGTCAAATTATTTTCAAAAAGGTGAATATTAATAAAGAAAAACTAAAAAGTGGAACATCAGTTCCATCTAGAGAGAGGAGGGGTCATGATATGAACAGACCCATAGGATTAGTGATGCTGTAGAATAAGCTATGATGACTCATAATAATAATTTTTCCACAGAGGAATCGCATTATTTAAGGAACAGCAATTCACATAAGAGATATGTGGCCCTAAACCTCAACATGTCACTTATGTATAAACTGTATATTGAGGAATGCAAAGAGCTTAATGTACTTGATAGTTACTTGGTCAAGAAATCTACATATGCAAATATTTTTTCCAAAAAGTTTAATTTATCGTTCTTTCATCCAAAAAGTGACACCTGTAGCACATGCGACTCTAGGCACTCTACAAAAGAACTTAAAGAAAATACAAAATTTGGCATTTCAGCTGATGTCAAAAAAAATTGTGAAAATTCTTTAAATGTCACATTACAGTAGATCTCCAACAAACCATGTCTTTACCAAAACTCACTACACCAAAGACATTTTTACCTCAAACAGTTATGGTTCGATTTACCTCAGGCGGTATGATTTAAGCATACGACATGTCGTTACTAACTGAAGGCCATAAATCTATAATGTAAACCAGATTGAAGACCTTGCTGGTAGAGGAAGTTCAGAAGATATTAGCTCGTTGTGGAATTTCGTGAATACTGAAAATATTACTACAAAGAAACACTTTATGGTCTGGTCCGATTCATGCGCTGGGCAGAATAAAAGCTTCCAGATGATCTGCTTTTACCAACTATTGATTTTAAAGAATGTGTTTTATCTTATAGATCATAAATTTCCTTAAGTAGGGGTACATCTATTTGGAATCAAATACGGATTTTGAAAGAGTTGAGAAAGTTTTAAGAAAGCACGGTAGCATTTTTACCTCTGAGCAATATTGACAAATTCTTAGAAGAGCGTGCACAAGGAATTCCGTTGTAAATGATATGGAACTATACCTTTGAGATGTTTGCCAAATAAAATGGGACTAGTTAATAAAAAAAAAGAAAATTCTAAATGAAAAAGTTCCTTTTAGTGATTGCATAAAATGGATTCGTGTCGAAGTGTTTGGTAGCTTACTGGTTATATAAAGAATCGTACGACGAGTACACCTCTTTTAAGGAAGTATTGATCGTCAAATATTCACCATCCGGAACATGTGTACCCCCAACAAATTTCGAATTCGTCAGAATTAATAACAAAATAGGAAACATAGCTAAAAAAAATCATCATACCTAGGCCACATACTGAGAAATAATAAGTACCAATATGCTCAACTTATAGTGAAAGGAAAAATCGAGGAAAAGAGAGGCCTAGGAAGGAAAAGACTATCGTGGCTCAGAAACATCCGACAATGGACAGGGCTAAATTTTGAACAGCTAATAAGAACAGTTGCAGATAGAGAAGAGTTTAAAATTGTAGTAGCCAACCTCCATTGAGGAGAGGGCACTTTAAGAAGAAGAAGCTAAAAAAATTGCAAACATTCTTGAGCAGTCCCTGTTCATCGCAGAGGAATATCGGGTTATTATGAAAATATTATTGGCCTTGATGTTGAAAATACCAAACAAAATAGACGTCTTACAAAATAAAGCATATAGCTATATTTCCGTTATAATTTTTGCTTGTTTAACTTAATTAAAAATAAAATTTTAGTGCTCATTAAGATAACTCAACATTTGCTTTTCCTAATGAATCAACTAAAAAGAAATAATCTGATTTCTTTTAAAAATGCCAACAAATCTTACATAACTTAGATTAACTCAAATATTACTTTTTGTAGCATAACCCTTTTATCAATTTGCCCCTTCAATTCTTAAATTATATTTTTTTAAAAACAATGTCTCATATCGCAAAATGAGTAGAAATAGAAAGCCAAAAGATCGTTTATTTACAAACTATAAACTGGTATGTTTTTCAAGCATTATAAAATTGGCTCACTTTTATTATGACTTATTTGAAAAATTACTTTAAAAATTTCTTACCTGTATTTGATCCTGTAACTATAACCGTTTTTCCTACAAGACATACCTTGTTCTTACACGACATAGTATTAAATTTTACGTAAATTTTCAAGATCACGTTAAATATTACTAGAGCAAATATAATATAAAGTATAATGAACAACATTGTTACTGATATACAGTCTCTTTAAATACATATAAAATACTAAAACGATAGACAAATATAGTAATCTATCAATTTAACTCAAAAAACACTGAGCAAACTAGGAGAAGTACAAAACCGAAAAGTACATAATATTAAATTATTTATCTCATCATATGTGTTTTTGACAGCATAGTTGTTTAATATTAGAAGTGTACTGATCTGAGTCTAGAGGCGGCTATGTTAGCTTACAATAAACCCAAATGATAACACATGGTTATCTAAACGTTATCTATTATATCATTATTAATTCATTTAAAAAGGACTACAATCAAATAAACCATTCTGTAAGATTGCGTAACTATGACATTCGTCTAGCTCCAACGCAACGTTTTGAATTCGTTCCTAATTCTTCTCGGTATTAAAAGTTGGTATTTTGTGTCTCTTATGACGTGGCCAAGCTATTGTATTTTTTTATTTTTATTTCATTTTATAGTTATGATTGTATTGAAAGCTTTGTCAAGACTTTCACCGTAACTGAATCTAATTAATATGATTTAATATTTGTATTTGTTTAAGACACATCTTAAACGTTCTATATTTAAAATTTTATTGTAAAATAACTGTTTCATTTTGAAAAAATACTTGCGTATTATTTTAGGTCTTGTTTTAGGTCCGTGGACAAGGCTAGACAATCACAAAAACGTATGGAGTCGGGAATAAGTAGGTGTAGGAACAATTAGTACAATATTTTTGATAACAGAAAAAGATCTGTGAAAGGATACAATGGAAAACTAAAGAGTACGAAATGGTGAAAAGTTAGCAATAGAGACAGCATAACATGGTAGAAAGATGACAATAGATATTTAATAAAGAAAGATATGAAAAATATTCATCCAGAGCGCTGATTACAGAGATAGAGAAGAATTCAACACTAGAAGAAAGGAAGTAAAGGAGATATAGAGAAATTAAAAAGATTTTGGTAAGGAAATAGCGGGGAAGTATAGGATTGATAACAGAAAGTTCTGGACAAGAACTAAAAGACTATGAGAGGTGTTAAAAGACAAAACTAAAAGCGATGAGAGAATAAAACCTAAATGTTGTAAAAAAAATCTAAAAATATGAAAAGAACTCTACAAAGAAACATCAGAAATATCAGAGGTAGCAAATAAAAGAAACAATTAAAGCAGAAGTAGCAAATAAAAGAAACAAGCAAATAAAAGAAACAAAATATATTATGCACTAAAGAAAACAAAACTAAAACATAAGGCAATTGAAGTAGAAGTAAAAAAGAAAATTCACAATACTATAGCAATACCAATATAAGAAATGAGTGAAAACTAGATTCTTAACAAGAAACTAGAAAAAAGATAAAATTAATCGAAATGCAGTACATTAGAAAAATTGCAGGCAAGATTAAGTGGAACAAAGTAAAAATAAAATCAAAAAAGGTTTGTTATGTGGCAAGAATGAATCAAACTCGACAGTTAAATGGAATAATTGTGATAAAATTAACTCGAGTGAGCACAATTCTCGTATCCGACCAAACATGAAGATGGGACGGGACTCTTTGACAAAAGTGACTAGATCAGTCAGAAATACAGCTGTCATGAGCTAAAATCTTATTAAATCAGACCAAACATGAAAATTAAATGAGACTCTTTGACAAAAGAGGCTAGGTCAGCTAGCAATAAGACTGCCGAGAGATCCAATTTTATCAAATTAGACCAAATAATAAAATTGGACGAGAGTCCTTGACAAAAGTGACTAGATCAGCCAGTAATACAGCTGCCAAGTGCTCTAATCTTATAAAATCAGACCAAACATGAAGATTAGACGAGAGTCATTGACTAAATTAGCAAGCAATACGGCAGCAATCTTATCAAATTAGACCAAATATTACAATTGGACCAGGCTCTTTGACAAAAGTGGCTATATCAGCCAGCAGTATGGCTATCAAAAGCTTTTATCTAGTCGAATCAGCCCAAGTATGAAGATTGGACGGGAATCTTTGACAAAAGTAAAAGTGACTAGATCAGCCACCAATACGACTCCCAACACCTCCAATATTGCGATAGATGGTGTTGTGTAGAGAAGACACTAGAGATTTAACACACACAAGAAAAGTTGTCTGTTGTATCTGTTCAGATGTTTCATCATCCCAAAATACAATGGGTTACTACATTTGTTCTAGCAGAGTTTGGCTAAAAAAACTACATAAAAAAAATAAAATCTAAAGGATAGAAAAAACTATGACTGATTTCCGAAAGAATAGCCCGCTTTATAGCAGGTTTTTCAAAAGGACGAGAAGAATAAGAAAACATCAGTCGTAGGGTTTCATGTTAGGCCTAGTACCGTAATAATGGAAGGTTCGTCTTTGTCACGTGGAAGAAACAATGTGTAAAAATATATAAGCCAAAGCCAATAAATAAGCCAATAAAATATATAAGCCAATATTTATAAGCCAAAATTTTAGATTTAAAAATTAACAGACTTCAAAACAAACATGACTTCTCCTTATTTCGTAAACCTACCTATACTGACACGACTATACACAATTCATGATCCCATAAAACACAACATAAACTGGCAGCTTATCATAGTATGTTACATAGATTAACAGAAATTCCGATGTCAAAATACAACTTTGAGACAGAATTAAAGATAATTAAACAAATAGCAGTAAACAACGGATACAACGAACAAACAATTAATAAAATGTTAAATCAAAAACTACACAAGAAAGCCCTGAAATTGGTATTTCCACCACCAGAGAAAAAACCCAGTACCTTCTGCTCGATTACATATACAGGCAAAATAACAACAAAAATTGCCAAACACATAAAAAAGAAAGGAATAACACCAGCTTTCCGAACAAATAACAACCTAGGCAAATATATTAAAAATAACAAGAGCCAAAATAAAAAAACACTTAAATAGTGGTGTGTACAAAATTCAATGTGGCGACTGCCCAAAAACTTACATCGGTCAAACTGGTAGAAACTTTAATAAATAGCAGAATAGCAGAACATAAAAGGGCTTTCAAGAATAGAAAAACAGATTCGACATACGCACTTCACCTTCTAGATCATAATCATTCTTTTAATGACAAATTTAAAATTCTTCACATTCAAAATAAAGGCCTTAAGCTATCTTTGTTTGAATCTATGGAAATCAACAAATTAAAAAACACAGATATAATTCTAAATGACCAACTTGAGACAAACAGTTCTCCCCTCCTAAACCTATTTCATTAGAGACTATAAATTTGTAAACCCAAGCCAAAAATAGATCACTTGAGAAAGGCAATCAGCCGAAACAGCTGTAGTGATAAGATTTAAAATAAATTTTGTGGAAGTTTGAAAACAAAGTTTTCAGTGTTTTATTGTTACATAAAATGAATTTCCATCAAGTAACGGTCGAATCCATCAATTATAAGCAAAGCCTTGAAGTAGACTGAAATAGTTGCTGGAGCATTTGCCTAGTGGAAAACCATCGAGCTGTAAAAGCTGAATGAGCTCTCCCTACAGAGAGTGAGTAGGCAAAAGAGAATCACTTGCTAGTAAACTGTTTCCAATATAAAAAATGTCGCATTAGAGCTTGTGCGGCAGTAGGTAATCATGATTCTGTCGAATGGGCTAACTCTTTTAGAGCTTTAAAACGAATTAGACAAAAAAAGTGCTAATTACGGTACGTAAAAAAGTTTCTTGGAGATGTTTAGAAGAATCCAGTCTCCACAGAACTCTTTTAGTTCCCAATTTTTTTTGTTTACATTAATTTATCCACACGTTTGGTTTATATTGCAAATGAAGCAACAACAATATCGAAAATTAAGTAATAGAAACGAGATGCCCTTTTAGAAGCAATATAAAGTTTTGAGAAACTGCGTGATAGAAAAGTAATAATAGTACAAGATTTTACTCAACCAACTACCATTCATAACGTAGTTCATAAAACTCAATCAAAGTAACTCATTGAATGAGCCGTAGAGACTTGCCCTTGTAGAACATAACCGAAATGTTTTCTAAGGCCACAGAGTGATTTGGTTTGCCAAGAATTAGACCAGACTTAAAGAAAAAAAGAACCTATGGCGATATCTATAGGAAATTATTATTAAATGTATGATCTATTAGTTTCAGACCTTCCACAGGGATTGAAACCTTATTACAAGAAAGCCCTAAACGCCGAAATTTCCGAAATTAAAGTGGCTAAGGAGCCTATATCAAGCAGGTTATGAATTTTATGAAAATATTTTGAAGACATATTTGTGCGAAGAAATGCAGTAAACGAAATGAGGTAAAATTAAGCAGTGTATATGAGAATTATGTTGTTTATCCAACCAGAAAAGTTCTTGAGGCCTTTAAACTAAAGAGTGTTGACATTTTTTATAAAGGGTGAAAACCAGAACAAGAGACATATTTAACACCTTGATTACTTACCTTAGGGTGCTTTGCGGCAGTGGCAAAACTGGAAGATGATTAATATTGAGTGAAATGAGAAGCATAAGTAAATGAATTAAATTGAGATGAGGTTGTAAGATGTATGAGAATCTCAATAAATGACTAAATTGTGTCTGCCTTGATAAACAAATGCCCTGATACCGAAAAAATACAAAAAATTTAATTTTGTATATTTAAAAGATAATAACAGAGCGTAAAACTTTATTTGAATCAGTCGGTATAATTTAACAATTTCATAGTTTCATCCCAAAGCTGTCGTGCTAACTGTGAATCTCTAGCAGTTTTATAATGTTCCTGATGACGACATTCTGAGAAAAACCCTCCTGTTAGGTACTCTATACCTGGTTCGGTAGCTGCATAGATTGTTGTTTGCGCACCTTCTTCAGGAGTCTACAAAAGTAAATACCTTTAAGTTATTTATATAATATTATAGGTTTTTTTTTTCGCAATTTTCTCCGCATAAAAACTTAAAATTGTCTATTAACCATTGTTAAAATGAACTCTTCTTCGCAATAAACGACGTTATTGATTAGAATTTATATTCAAAAAAGGTTTTGAAAATTTCAAAATATTCAATATTTTCGTCCATGGGTGTATATAAAAACATTTTTAATTTCTGGGTTTGTCCGCATGCTATGATATTTTTTTTTGTAATGCAAAATCTAATGAGGTTAAATCTTTTTCCACAAGACGCAAAAATACAGAAATACAAATCCATAGTACGACCAGCAGTCGCGTATGGCGCATGGCGGCGAAAAATGGACGCTAACAAAAAAATAAGTAGATGTGAGAACTTAAAATGTTTCTAGTGGCGTAAAATATGTGGCCTTTTGTGAAAGTTAAATTTTCTCTTCAAAAAGAAAAATCTAGTAAGATATATAAAGGCTAATAAAGGAAGATGGGCTGGATATGTGATGGGCAAGACAGTAATGACAATCGCCTCATAAACAATGTGTTTCGAGAAATTCCAGATGGGAGAATATCTGGACAACATGCATAACTCGACCAAGCGCCAAAACATAGTTTTGAGATAAATGGGTTCAAAGTTTTTCATTTCTTAAAAATACATTTATTAATATATTTGCACAAAATTTTAGCAGAAGAACGATCACGTACAACTATTTTTGGCTGCAAAGTTTCAATATAATCGCACCTACCATATTCTAGAAAAAAAAAATAAAATGGCGCTTGGTCTACTTATGCTTTAAATATATTTCAGGAAATTTAGTCGTTATACATTACTAGACCAACTACCATTTATGTCATTTGGTTTATTAATGCAAAACAAAATACTGCGATAGGGCTATTGTAATCACTAAAATAAAACTAGTATTTTTAAAATTTATGTTAAACGTATATTGCTATAACATAATTAATTCTATAATCATTGAATATATTTTTTTACCTTTTATTGCTCTAAATTTATTTTACCATTCAATAATGTTAATTCTAATGCAGATAAAATTATATCAATAAAAAAATTTAGTTATACAGAGTTTTAAAAATAGGAAAACTAAAGAAAACCATTTTAATAAAAAAAAACATTTTTAATCTACACATTGGAAAGAATCATTACAAAAAAATACCAAGAAAAATATACAGTTTGTTAGATTGCTAACTTTATTGGTCATCTATTGGAAAATCAAGTTTACCATTAAATCCTTCAATGTCATCTTCCACATAACTGTTACTAAATAAGGACCTATACACTGGTTTTGCATCCAATGGTATAAATTGCAGTAAAGATTTTAGATGATCTAATTTTGGTTTGAGAAACCTCAGGGAGTGGTTTGCTTGCACTTCCATACAATTGTTCCGAGCGGCAGCCTCCAGGGTCAAAATTGCCATGATGATAGCCAACCTTCGTAGCGGAGATGGCACGTGAAGAAGAAGAAGAAAATTTTGGTTTAGAAATAGGTTTACTTTGTGGCCAGTGTTGAACCAAGTGTTCACTAAAATTACGGAGATATTGAATAATGGGTCTTCCTTTCCCTTGTTTTTTAGAAATATCTATTTCTATGTCGTCCATCTATAGGACGACTTAGGAAAAGGTGGAAAAATGCAGTTAACGATGATCTGAAGATGTTGGGGGGTGAGATAGTGGGAAATAGTGGCACAGGACTGACAAAAATTGAAGGCAATAGTAAGCACGGCAAAGACTCACGAAGAGTTTTAACATTATTTATGATGATGACGAAATTCATATTTTTAACCATGTCTTATATCTACGAAAACATATCTGTCAGTTGCATTTTATGTTTTAGACCATGTAGGAGGGTTTACTAATAACTTTTTTGTAAAAATTTTAAAAAAAAAGAAGCAAAAATGCTTTCGCTTATTGTTCCAACTTACTATGCCATACTGTATAATCCTATATCGCATACTGTATAAGAATTCTTAGGAAATTATATTATTCTGCTGTTACATAACAGTTGTTTTTGACAATTAATCATTGAAATGTTCATGATGAATTCTACAACACTATAAAATAGAAATTACCATATTGAGTCTAGAAATATTGTCTACATTAACCTTGAAATTGCACATCTAGTAAAAGAATGGAACACGCTTATATTAAATGCAAAGTTCAGGTAAATAAAAATATAATAAAAAATTCTATAAATCAAGAAAAATACGAATTATTGCTAAATTATAAAATTTTACGAATATATTAGTAATCTAATATATTCTAATATATTACAATAAGAGCAGTATTAAAAGATTGTAAACATCTACAATATTGTTAAGAAAGTTCAGTAAGATTTGTCCCACATAGAAAAAGTCACTTGACGAAAAAGAAGAAGCAGTTCGAGCATTCAAGATGACATCGAAAATTCATGAAATGTCTGATGAAGTTTGGAACATGTTTTGGAACGTCAGAAAAAAATATATAAATATTTGATGGATTCGACCGTTACTTGATGGAAATTCATTTTATGTAACAATAAAACACTGAAAACTTTGTTTTCAAACTTCCACAAAATTTATTTTAAATATTATCACTACAGCTGTTTCGGCTGATTGCCTTTCTCAAGTGATCTATTTTGACTTGGGTTTACAAATTTATAGTCTCTAATGAAATAGGTTGAGGAGGGGAGAACTGTTTGTCTCAAGATGGTCATTCAGAATTATATCTGTGTTTTTTAATTTGTTGATTTCCATAGATTCTAACAAAGATAGCTTAAGGCCTTTATTTTGAATGTGAAGAATTTTAAATTTGTCATTAAAATAATGATTATGATCTAGAAGGTGAAGTTCGTATGTCGAATCTATTTTTCTATTCTTGAAAGCCCTTTTATGTTCTGCTATTCGTTTATCAAAGTTTCTACCAGTTTGACCGATGTAAGTTTTTGGGCAGTCGCCACATTGAAGTTTGTACACACCACTATTTAAGTGTTTTTTATTTTGGCTCTTGTTATTTTTAATATATTTGCGTAGATTTTTATTTGTTCGGAAAGCTGGTGTTATTCCTTTCTTTTTTATGTGTTTGGCAATTTTTGTTGTTATTTTGCCTGTATATGTAATCGAGCAGAAGGTACTGAGTTTTTTCTCTGGTGGTGGAAATACTAATTTCAGGGCTTTCTTGTGTAGTTTTTGATTTAAAGCTATTAAAGCCGTGAAAGCATATCCTGCCTCAGACGTGGCCTCAGATCACAATTCACCTATCGCCACGATTACACTCAACCTTAAGAATATTAAAAGACATTAAAGAAACCCTACAATAGACACAAGAAAACTTAAAGAACCTAAGGTAAAAGATTGCCTTTAACATGAACTGCATGTGAACTGCACCAAATTGAACACAAACACCAATGCCTGTCGTGAAAATCATACTCAAAGACCACAACAATTAAATGTATAATCCTAAAGATTATTTTTATTAGGGATACTTGAAAAATTCAGTTTACAAAACTTAACCAGCAAGTCTTGTAGAGCTAAGGCAACAAATTATCAATGAATCTCGAATAATTTCTGGAAAATCATGGAGAAATGTGGTAGACGCCTTCTACCATCGATTAGGGTGCTGTCAAATTGAGCACATTTTGAACACTTAATAACGTAACTACTATGTTAAAAAATGTTCTAAACTATCAATTGTTACGTTTTAATGTATTTGAAAATGGTTAGTATAAAAAATTTATTGAAACAATTTAGGCGTTGCCAGACTTCAGTTTTATGTATTTATGACCTTCGAGATTACATAAAATCATAAGTGTTACATGTGGTTGAACTCGTATTGAATAGGAGATTCCAATAATGACTGAATATACAGGGTGATGTATTTGAAAAACCAAAGTTACTAATAATATAAGAAAAACGGCAAATCTGGCAACATTGTAAATATCAAATATGGAATATCCGTATCCCGAAATAGATGTACCTTAAATTTTGTACAATTATGATTAGCATTTTACGAGATAATTAGCCGTTTCCAGACTTTTGGGCCACTCTGTATATTTAAAGTTCATAATGCACAGAGTGGATAGTTGGGAGGAAGGAGTAAACATAGGTAGTGTCAAGATATCTAACTTGCGATTCGCAGACGACACTATACTTCTAGCCTCTACTCCACAAGAATCACGAAACCAAAATCATGATTTTTATATGCCACCAATAGTTTTCTGAAACCCGAACTATTGTAGGATGCGAGGTACCTAGTATCTTCTATGATATACCTAGGAGCTCTAGTTAACAACACCAGGCCAATGTATACCCGAAATTCGAGGACGCATGCAACTAACGAGAGCAGCAATCACTAGAAAAAATTAAACCCAATCAGCGACTCTCTAGTACTCTTTATTTTAAAATTTTATTATAAAAAGTTTTTTGGTCGTATTCATCGAAGTGATAACAAAATGGAGCGGTTGGTGGTCCAAGTAAGGCCTCAGTGTCAACACCAATGCGGTAGATGTCCACAGCGATGGGCAGACATCGCGAAAATGAAGAACCACAACACATCTGCCAATATGTTAATGACTTTAATAATAATGACCTAATTTTAGTGCTTTATTATGTAAATTTTGTAGTAATAAACACAAAAAATTAATAATATCCTTATAACTAGTTTAACTTTCGACTCATAGTTTCCTTGATTAAAGTCAAGATAGAAACACTTATATCTCCAACAAAGTTATAGCAAATATTCGTAACTCCAAATATGTATTTATTAGGTCTCGAAACATCATAGATTCAGCTCATATATATATATATATATATATATATATATATATATATTATATATATATATAATAACTGAATACGGCTGTCGCCGCTTCTCCGCCCCCAATTTCCATCTTTTTCTGTCATACGCAGTTGCCTCTTGCCGCCATTGCTTCATCAATATCGTTGCGCCAACTTCTCCGTGATCGTCCTCTCTTTCTTCTTTCAGGAGGGATCCATTCCAGTACTCTTTTAGGCCACCTGTACTCTGACATTCTTTTAACATGTCCGAACCAGATTAATTGTTTTCTTTCTACGTCATCATTGATATTTCGCTCCATTTTCATTTCGTTTCTTATTTGTTCGTTCCTAACTCTTTGCAGTTTCGATCTACCGCAGCTTCGTCTCAGATAATCCATTTCTGTCATCATAAGTTTGTTTTTATTAGCTTTGGTGACGTCCCATACTTCCGAATCGTAAAGTGTAATACTAATAATAAATAAAGTGTAATAAGACTATGCTACCGTAAATGTGTTTTTTGGTTTCTCGTCGAATTGTTTTTTGTCAGAGAAGAGAGTTTAAGGCACGGGTCGCTGCTCTACCCTTGTTTATTCTTTCCCTTATTTCATCTCTGCTATTTCCCTTCTTATTGAAAATCACCCCCAAATATTTGCAGGATTGTACGCCTTTGATTTTGTCGTCTTCCAAGACTAGGTCACATATTTCATCTGTTCCCACTGATAGATATTCACATTTTGTCATATTCATGTTTAGACCTGCCACCTCATATTCTTCTTGCAGTTTTCTTACCATATAGCTAAGATTGAAGCTATCTTCGGCAATTACTATGTTCTACATGTTTATACATTTTTTTACCCATTTCACTAAGGATCTGTCCAAATAGATTTTAAATAAGGTGGGTGACAGACAGCAGCCTTGTCTTAGTCCCTTTGTTCTTTGAAAAGGAGAGGTGATTTCTTGTCCCATTTTAATTCTTGCAAAGTTTTGTTCGTAGTATTTTTGAGTGGCGTTAATAAGAATTTGAGTTTATTTTCAAGTTATCCATTTCTATCCATAGTTGGGAGATCGGTACACTATCATAAGCTTTTTCCAGGTCTATTAAAGCTATATGGGTTTCTCTATTTCTCTGCACTCATTTTTCCATTGCAATTGTTAATGTGAAAATATTATCCATAGTGGAGCGTCCGGCCCTAAATCCCGCTTGTTCTTCGGGTTGTTTATCTTTAATATCATTTTCTATCAGGTTTCTCAGTACTTTTGAATATAATCGGCCTATAGTAGCAATCACCACTCTATAGTTTTTAGGATCCGTTTTTGTGCCTTTCTTGTGTATTGGAGAGATATACGATTGTCTCCATTCTTCTGGAACTTCTTCTCCGTTTAAGCATCTTTCGAATAATTTTCGGATCATTTCAAGCAGTTTTGATCATTTCAAGCCATATCTAATCAACTCTGGATGTATTCCGCCTGGGCCTGGAGATTTTCTTAATTTCATTCCTTTAACTGCTTCTTTCACTTGTTCTATTGATAGTTCTATTCTTCCTTCTACTTGCACTTGTTCATTTGTCTGTTTAAACCTTTCTCTTCTCTCTGTTAATAAGTTCTCAAAATGCTCTATCCATGTGTTCTCTGGTATTCGATTTATTATGACTTGGTTTTTTGTCGTTGTTCTCATCGTTTTTATAGTTTTCCAGGCTTCAGAGCTCTTTGTCTCTCCTATATGGTTGTCTAGGTATTGGCATTTTTGTTCCCATGCACTATTTTTCTTTTTAACGACTTCTCATTTGACTTCTTTATTCAAGTTTTTATATTGTTGTTTTGTTTGTTCGTCTCCCTGTTGTAATAACTTTTGATATACTTCCTTCTTTCTTTTTATCTTTTCTTCCACTTCTTTATCCCACCAATATGGTTTATCTACTCTTCGTACCTGTGGCCCTAAGGCTTCTAGCGCTGTGTCTTTCATGCAGTTTGTTATATGTCCGTATTCATCCGTCGTTGATCTGTGTGATTCCTGTAGTTTTTGTGTTAGTCTCCAGGAGTAAAGTAATTGTGTGCTCTCGTTATCTAGATTGTCTAAGGTGTACGTCGTTCTTTCTATTTTTTTCTCTGTGTTGTTTGTTGATGTCTGTGTGATTCCTGTCTACGAATGGTGTATATATTTTTCCTATTATCAGGCAGTGGTCCGAACCGCACTCTGCTCCTCTATTCACCTTTACGTCCTGTACTCTTAGCTTAGTTTGTTGCCTTGTTATGAAATAATCTATTATCGATTTTAGACCTCCTGTGTGCTGATACCAGGTGTATTTTCACAAGATTCAACTCAACCAGGTATAAATTTGATTTTTTAGCGAAAATATTAGATTTACATTATTTTTTGATAATAAGTTTTATACAGGTTTTTATAATAGGTCTAAACTGGCTCCTGATAAGGCTCCTTCCTGCATTACAATTACGATATATTATAAATATACTTACTTTTATTGAGAATCTTGACAAAGGAATAACACACGAGTTTACAATCGGCCACAGATGTCTAGTCATTATATCAGTAGCTATCATTCCTGGATGAAGAGCAAATACACTGATGTTAAACTCATTTAATTTCTTGGCCAACTCTTGAGTAAACAGTATATTGCACAATTTTGTAATAGGATAGCTTGGCTTTCCATTAAGATTTTTCACATCGAGTTTAGCATATTTAGCTGCTACTGAAGAAACGTTGATTATTCTACTAGGTGCGGATTTTTTTAATAAATCTAAAATATTAAAATAAATGATATAACATAAAAATAACAATTACTATTTTAGTTAGGAATAAGTCACAGTTTGAAATAAGTTCTCAGAATGTTGAGAATGAGAATGAAACACTTTCCAATAATCAAAAATGAATAAATAAATAGAATTACTTACTAAGTAACATAAGGGTTAACAAAACTGGTCCAAAGTAATTGATTTGCATCTCCAACTGAAGACCATCCTCGGTCAATTGATCACCAAGCAATATTGCCCCAGCGTTATTTATTAGTATATCCAGTCTTTCCTCTGTTCTTAGAATATCATTGGCAAAATGTTTAACGGATGTTAATGAAGCTAAATCTAAAACTTTTAGAACTACGTTCTGATTCAATGTTAGAGTTTTAATATTTTGAACAGCTACAGTTCCTTTAAGATGATCTCTACATCCCAGAATTACTCTTGCTCCCCGTTTAGCACACTCTAACGCTGTTTCATATCCTATACCTAAAACATTTAAAATTTGAAGAATATTTTTGTTTATTACTTAAAAATAACCTAACAAGCAATGGAAATAAACTGTTGGTAATTAACAATTTTTAATACTAAGATGAAGGAAAGTAAATGCAAACCTTATATAACAATAAAACACTGAAAACTTTGTTTTCAAACTTCCACCAAATTTATTTTAAATCTTATCACTACAGCTATTTCGGCTAATTGCCTTTCTCAAGTGATCTATTTTTGGCTTGGGTTTACAAATTTATAATCTCTAATGAAATAGGTTGAGGAGGAAAGAACTGTTTGTCTCAAGTTGGTCATTCAGAATTATATCTGTGTTTTTTAATTTGTTGATTTCCATAGATTCTAACAAAGATAGCTTAAGGCCTTTATTTTGAATGTGAAGAATTTTAAATTTGTCATTAAAAGAATGATTATGATCTAGAAGGTGAAGTGCGTATGTCGAATCTGTTTTTCTATTCTTGAAAGCCCTTTTATGTCCTGCTATTCGTTTATCAAAGTTTCTACCAGTTTGACCGATGTAAGTTTTTGGGCAGTCGTCACATTGAAGTTTGTACACACCACTATTTAAGTGTTTTTTATTTTTGCTCTTGTTATTTTTAATATATTTGCCTAGGTTGTTATTTGTTCGGAAAGCTGGTGTTATTCCTTTCTTCTTTTTATGTGTTTGGCAATTTTTTGTTGTTATTTTGCCTGTATATGTAATCGAGCAGAAGGTACTCGATTTTTTGTCTGGTGGTGGAAATACTAATTTCAGGGCTTTCTTGTGTAGTTTTTGATTTAACATTTTATTAATTGTTTGTTCGTTGTATCCGTTGTTTACTGCTATTTGCCTAATTATATTTAATTCTCTCAAAGATGTATTTTGACATCGGAATTTCTGTTAATCTATGTAACATACTGTGATAAGCTGCCAGTTTATGTTGTGTTGGATGGGATGATGAATTGTGTATAGTCGTGTCAGTATGGGTAGGTTTATGAAATATGGAGAAGTCATGTTTGTTTTGAAGTCTGCTAATTTTTAAATCTAAAAAATTTATTGATTGATTTTGTTCTGTTTCTATTGTAAATTCAATATGACTATGAAGTGAATTAATATAAGATAAAAATTGGTCGGGTTGTCTGTTAGTTCCTGTGAAACATACCAGTACGTCGTCTACGTATCTCCACCAATATAAAAACTGTTTGAATATGGGATGTTTTGACATATTTGTCTCTAGATGATCCATAAAAATATCTGATAGCAATGGGCTTAGAGGATTACCAATTATAAGTCCTGCATTGTTATTTGTATATATTTTATTATTAAATTTAAAGTAGTCCTGGTTTATGCAAACTTCAAGAAGATGTAAAATTTTAGATGTAATTAATGGATTTGTACTATTTTGGTGTAAAAGGTTTTTATTAGAATAAAAGTTTCTGTAGGAGGGATACTAGGAAAAATATTTTTTACGTCAAATGAAATTAATCTGGAGTTGTTAGGTAATTGAAAATGTTGTATTTTATTAACTAGTTCTATTGTATTTTTTATGGTAAATTTAGGTGAAAATTTAGTGTGTTCTAAAAATAATCTCTAACAGTTTTTTTGAAATTTATATGACGGAGCTGTATAAAAAGAAACTACAGTTCTTATTGGGTGATCCGGTTTGTGTAGTTTAATGAAAGAGTATAATTTAGGAGGCTGTGGGTTCATTATATTGAGGTATTTCTGTTCTATTGGATTTAGTACTGCTTTTGAATTTTCTAACGCTAGCTTAATTTGTTTTTGATATTTTTCTGTCGGATCTTTGTGTAAAGTTTCAATATTTTGATTATTTAAGAATTCTATGGTTTTGATATTATATTCTATTTTATCTATAGCAATTAGTAGTGTTACCTTTGTCTGCTTTTGTAAACACAATGTTGTTTTCTTTTTTTCAATTTTAATTGAAATTGCTGTTTTATTCTCTTTGTAACAGGAAATCTTAGTTTCACTACACACATCTGTAATAGATTTGTCAATTATACTTTTTTCGATATTGTTAGCAGTTTTGTTTAACGCTACTTCACATTCTACACCTAAATATTCTAAACTTCTCTCATTATTATGTTGGGGCAAGTTGTGTTTAAATCCTTTCTCTAAAAGTTATATCTCGCTGTTACGAAATTTAGTATCTGTTAAATTTATAAATCTATTGAAAAAAGTATGGTTCGAAAAACTTTTTGTATAATGAATATTGGGTTTTTTACTATTGAAAATTAGATTATTTAGTTTTTTACACTGTGTATTGAATTTTTTATCTATTATATTATCTATATTAATTCTCACGTTAGAAACTAGGATGTCAAAATTCTATATTATTTAATCTATAATTTAATTCTGAATGACGTACCTTAAGATAAACAGCTATAATATCTTGCTTCTTGTATTGGTATTTTCTGTCTTGTTTAAGCCATCTGGTCTGACCGTGATGAATTCCTTTTTGTGCAGCGAGCGGGGCTGTGGTTTTTGGTTTTTAACTGAATATATTTCGGGAACACTTTATTTTGTAAACACATATTTAAAAACCAGATGTTTTGTGTCGCCAGTCTACGTTTCAGATGTAATCTTGAAAACAGTATGGTCAAAAGTTCTGTACTGACTTCTTTTAAATAATTGATGGATTCGACCGTTACTTGATGGAAATTCATTTTATGTAACAATAAAACACTGAAAACTTTGTTTTCAAACTTCCACAAAATGTATTTTAAATCTTATCACTACAGCTGTTTCGGCTAATTGCCTTTTTCAAGTGATCTATTTTTGGCTTGGGTTCACAAATTTATAGTCTCTAATGAAATAGGTTTAGGAGGGGAGAACTGTTTGTCTCAAGTTGGTCATTCAGAATTATATCTGTGTTTTTTAATTTGTTGATTTCCATAGATTCTAACAAAGATAGCTTAAGGTCTTTATTTTGAATGTGAAGAATTTTAAATTTGTCATTAAAAGAATGATTATGATCTAGAAGGTGAAGTGCGTATGTCGAATCTGTTTTTCTATTCTTGAATGCCCTTTTATGTTCTGCTATTCGTTTATCAAAGTTTCTACCAGTAGCAAACCTTATAATTATATTTAACTATACATAATTATCATTCAAGGCCAAGATATGAAAGTCCTTAACTAGCCGAACCTTTTTCTTCATGTGCCTTCACTGTTTAGAAGTTTGGCTATTGCTCGACAAGACGTGGAATGACTTTCGATATTTTGCTCATCTACGCAGAGAAAGAAATGGACGAACGCCGAAACTAGACTACCTAATTTTTAAACGTAATTTACAGTTAGATCGAGTTTACTTCTATTCTATTTCTTTTTTTTTTTTTTTTCTTTTTCTAGTGCCGCCCCATTAATGATGGTTGGCTATCACCATTGCAAATTTTTCTTTATCTTCTACTTCTCTTAAGAGCGTATGTTTGTTCAAACCAGTCCAGTTGCAAATGTTTTTCAGCCAGGATATTTGTCGTCTACCAGGACTTCTTTTTCCTCCGATTTTATTTTTTATAATCAGCTGCAATAACTCGTCCTTCTCATTTCTAGAAGAGTATGTGAACCAAATATGCTGTCTTTCTCCTTTCAATGGTAATCAAAAGTTCTCTATCTAACTCTGCCTGGGGTTATGAGCGCAAGAATTGGATGGAATGAGTAGAAGAAGGAAGGAAGAAAGCAAAGAAAAGAAAAACGAGAAGGAAAAATAAGTCCACAAGTAGATTAGCATCATGAAACATTACTTCTTTGAATAACAAAGACCAAGAGATAATTGAAGAACTGATAAATAAAAACATAGAAATTTGTGCAATAAAAGAAACTAAGAAGAAAGGTAAAGGCCAAAAAGACTATAACCAATATTTTATAGCATACAGTGTATTTTATAGTATACAATGACACCAAAACATCCAAACTGCTCTATCTATTAAAAGTAATAGAAATAAAGTTGTAGACCATTTAATTTGCTACAAATAATTTTTAATTAAATTTTCTGTAGGGCTACTAGTTTACGAGATACAGCGCGAAGGCCCTTTGCTCCCCGTTTTCCAAGATGACAGCCGGGGGCAAGGACGGTGACCCCACAAACCGGAACTCAAAGCTTATACTTATCCTCCTAGGTATCAAAAATATAAAATTGTGTCATCTCAAATATGTAATCTGAATGTAACTTTTCAATGGACTAAGTCTGTTTTGCCCAAAGTACTACTCAATTTATAGCTCCTTCACCCACACGTAACACAGTGACAGACCTTCACGGTTCCGAAAGATTTATTTATTTACAAGGTATGTATTTCTTAACAGATTGTAGCTTTTCTGACGAACTTTTCCGATCCGTTTGCGGTGGTGGATGGGTCCTCTGCTTTTTCCGTTCGGTACATCCGCTTACAGGTCCTGACAATTTTAGGGCATGTTAAGCATTTGCCTTCTCTCTTGTTAACTACTTGTATTCTCTGCTACTATATCCAGTGTCTGTGTTCCAGTTCTTTATTTCTAGTGTTCTTAAATTTATTTCAGCTTGGTCCTATCATCTGATCTTAGGTCTACCTTTTAATCTTTCTCCTTTTGGTGTCTACTCCGTTAATCGAATTTCTTGCTTTCCTTATTATATTTTCATATTGTATTATCCTCTGTGCTTTTAGTATTCTTACAATATTCATTTTCTTTAGTATATTACCTATTTTAACAGCGTACGTTATTATTGGTCTTATTGTTATTTTATATATGCTCAGTTAGATATTTTTGTCCAATTATTTTATATTTTATTAATTGATTATTTGCATATAGTGCTTTAAAAAGTTGTAGCATTATTTGCTGCACCAATTGGTCTTCTTTCATTACTTTTGTGCAGTACTCTATCAAGGCATTGTAACATTTCTCTAATTTAGGGTTATGCATATATTTCGTTTTCTGTTCATTTACCACTAAACCTTATTCTTTTGATTTTTCTTCAATTGTATTGAATAGTTTCTTCAGTTCCTTTTTG